TGGAAGGGCTGGGGCTGGCTTGTGTAACTTAATTCTTCTGCCCTTGTTGCCTCCTTCTCATCTTAGTTCTGGAAACTCTCATACAGGAATTCCATTTTCTTGGCTTACACTTGTTGCCTCATGTTCTGTTTTAAATGCTTGAGAAGGAACCTCTTTATTTATTCATCTGCTAGAGAGGTATTTTAATGAGGGAAGGATGTTGAGCAAGCAGTGAAGTAGTTGAGGCAGCTCCAGATCCTTTCAGAAGCTCTCCGGTGGGAATGATTCAAGCTTGGAATGAACAGATGCATAGCAACAGTGTTTATTTTATTTTGATACTCAAGAGGCCTGAGAGTTGCATGAGTGTTTGCAATATATTTGTCATGCGTCGACAGCATCTAGGAACAGATCAAAAACTACCCTGAGACTAGATTCTAGCCTGGTGAGCTACCATTGCTTAGAGTCAGCACTGTGCAGGATGCAGAGCTTGTCCAGGGCTACCAGCACTCTGCATGGAGGGGATTTATAGAAGCAACAATAAGAAAATGAACTGTGTAAGGTCCATGACAGCCTAATTTCTTGCAACTCTGTTAATCCTGTTAAGTCAGGGTTAGACTGACGGTGTTAGGTAAGTCGGCTGAATGGATCTCAAGCCCCATTAAAACTGGCTCTGCTCTTAAAAAAGAGGAGAAGGTTGCATTATTGCAGGAGGGTGGTCACTCTTTCCACAGAGTAATCTTTATGGTTGTCCTTAACCAGATCTTTCTGCCAGTTTGCTTTTTGTTGGGTTAATTTTTAAAACTTTATAATCTTAAGCTTTCTGTTGTGGTGACAGTGCAGCTGAGTGAACTTGATTATTCCACCTACTTTTTGCCCAGTTGCAACTGAGCAATTAACATTTTAAGCCAACAATCTACACTTCCAATCTAAACTGTTGCTGCATTTATACGTCACAGATTGCCCTCTGGTGACTTGGGAATGCAATGAGGAAGAACAATCTTTCAGGTGCACTGTATCTAAAATTAACCTTCCACCTGGGCAGTTGGATTTCTGAAGCACCGTGTTCAAGAGAAAAGAACATTTAGACCAGAAAATAAATAATTTTCTAACTGTAAAGGCCTGACTTAGCTTTGTTGGTGTCCAGTGAAGCAGGAACAGCAGTGCTAGCTTAGTGTTGAGCTGCTGTGTGACATTAGCATCCTGCACCTTGTCGAAATAGAGTTTAGTGCATCAGTATCTGGGGGTTGTTGAGGGAAAAAGCTGGGATGGCTTTCAGCTGTTCAGATATGGCTCTCCTAGTGTAGGCATATAGTGTGACTGTGGTGGAGCTTTTTGGTGCAAGCACTACTAGATCATCTATATTTCCAGCTGTGAAAGGAAGCAAAATACCTGTGGGCGATATGGAGGCATGAGTCAGAGTGGGATAGGATACAGCAGTTCACTGTTGTCTGGCAAAACTATGTCCTTGCAGCAGTACTCCTTGTCTTGATGTAGACTGAAGGTGCTGGTAGATCAAAACAAGCTGTTTGCAGGTCTATGGTCTGAAGCCAGGACTGTAAGGATGTTGGGATCCTTCTCAAATGTACACCAGGAATATGCCTTAAATAAGTATTACTCCACTTGGTTGTAGTATCTCCAGGGCTAAAACTTGCATTCAGAACCTGGTATCTGGGTAAGTCTCACAGAACATCAAAGTCAAGAGTTGCTCTTTTTGAAAGACCTGAAGACGCTGTTTATGTTGGCTTAACATTTTGGGTTATTTTTCCAGGCAGGCATGTGGCAGGTGTGGGGCAAGACTGTCATAGCTGTGTGTGACACAGGCTTGCTGCAGACCTCTGCTGCTCAGGTCTAGGGTAGGTTCTGCTGGATCTGCAAATCTATGTTCTGTTTTGGTGTGAAGCCAGGGAGATTTCAGTAAGCTGTGTTAGATGAGCCAGCTTTCAACCAAGCTGAACATGAAGGAAAGGTACATGTCAGAGCTGCTCTGGTCAGGACCTAGATCCCCAGTAGGTCTAGGGCAGTAACTTAGGGCAAGAAGAGTAGTTGTGTGCCTTCAGTAGGGCAATTAAGAGAGCCTGTTCCTTAGCCTGTGTAATGTTGTGTGCTGTGAGACTGCTCTTCAGTGCAAGTTTGGCTCTAGTGTTTCTGGCACTGATATTGCCAAAGCCTAATCCCTCAATGTAACGTAAAATCCTCTTCCTACTTCATTTCATGTTGCAAGTGATGATTTCTGTTGACTGGTGTGTAACAGAATTCTAGTGAGATGTCATGGCCAGGTATTAAATGTCTTTTTGATGCTAGCAAGGTAGCTTTGTTTAAAGCATATGTGAGAAAATGGAGAGGGGTACTAAAGATGAAGAGTTAATGTGAGGGATGTGATCTAAATTTTTAACTCCTAGTGGGTAAAGATACAAATAAAAAGTTGAAAGGATAAACAATGATTTGAGATGGTAACTATAGTAGAACTGAGGGAGGTGGGCATAAACTCTGCATGTAGAAAAAAAAACCCAGATCTTAGATTGACTTTGTGAGTCCTCAACCAGGCTATAAAGTGGCATCTCACCTGGAGGCCTGCTATTTGGATAGCCAGGAATAGGAAAGTGGGGTGGTGGGAAAAGTGGGGGTGGCTGCTAAGAAAGCAGATTTCCTCTACCCTTATCAGAGGTGGACTGGGTGGTGTAATAGCTCTTTTCAATCTTTCACTTTTGTGTTCCTCTAAAACAAACAAACAAACCCTCCTTATTCTTGTTCTCAGTGATGTGGCTGGCTCCTGATATCCCTGGAATGATGCTTTTTGCTTTACTTCTGACCTTTAGAAGGGAAGGGCTGCCTATGTGCATGTTGTAAGAGGGTATGAGCATAGTATACATGCACGTGTGTAAACACAAGTGCAGAATATCCTACAACACATGTCTGTTAGTTTTTAGATCTTCAAATTTAGTCCTTTATGAGTTGAAATGAGTCAGCAGTGTATGCTTGCAGTCCAGAAAGCCAACCATATGCTGGCCTACATCAGCATATAAAAAGGTGATGCTGGGCTGCATCACCTTGGAGAAGCAAAGGCTCCAGAGAGACCTCAAAGCAACTTTGAGTGCCTAAAGGGGGTGCAGGAAAGCTGGAGAGGGGCTTTGGACAAGGGCCTGCAGGGACAGGCCAAGGGGAATGGCTTTAACCTGCCAGAGGGGAGACTGAGATGAGCTCTTAGGCAGAAGCTCTTCCCTGGGAGGGTGCTGAGGCGCTGGCACAGGGTGCCCAGAGAAGCTGTGGCTGCCCCATCCCTGGCAGTGTTCAAGGCCAGGTTGGACACAGGGGCTTGGAGCAAGCTGCTCTGGTGGAAGGGGTCCCTGCCCCTGGCAGGGGCTGGAGCTGGGTGAGCTTTAAGGTCCCTTCCAACCCAAACCAGTCTGGGATTCTGTGAAATGTTTCTTATAACAAGGAAGTTAGAGCCAGAACTGCTAATAATGGCTTTCTGCAATGGAGGGAGAGAAAATTTTGCAGATACTTTGCCATCTCTTTCTAAGCCCTTCCAGAGGTAGGAGCTAAATTGCTGTAGGTGCTTTGTTGTAGTTTACATTTTTTACTTCTTTTAAGTCTTTGAAAAAGCTATTTCACCAGATGGAGCTGCGTTTAAATGGCTTGGAGCCCTTTGAAGAAAATTAAAATTCATTTTAGGAGAGGTATTATTTTATGGACGGATGACAACCTCACAACTTTCTGCACAGAGGGTGAAAGCTGAATGAGACCAGTCTGGGACTTCGGCTGCCCATGAATTAATCAGCAGGGTGGTACGAAAATTCTGTCTGTTGGGGTTTCACAGGTGAAAAACTGGTGTGGGCAGGAAAAGAGGGCCTCAAACATCCAACTTTTTTGAATGATCTGTGATGCAGGAGAGGGAGCTGTGACGGGTTTTGCTAGTGGGTTCAGTCCACTGTGTCTGGGAGTTGTCGCTTGCTGTGTGTGTCAGATAACCAGAGCACGAGTGCACCAAGCTTGAAGCATCTTGGTTTACTCTGGATGTTGAGGGTATCTGTGCAAGTTTACAAAGAAGTCTTGGAAGCCAGTGTTGGAGTTGTTGTCTTGAAGGTCACTGCAATGACAGCATTGGAAAACCCGTGTTGATGCTGCATCCTTTCACATGTTTGGACAGCAGTTTTTCCCATTCTCTAGGGAATTTGATCCCAACCTTGTCTGTTATTGCAAAATGCTAAACAAAGGAAGTCTGGCACTTACCTGTGTTTGGCTTTTATTGCAGTCATTAATCAATGAAGGCTGCTGTATTGTGAATGCCATGTGTGAATACATAGAATCATAGAGTAGTTAGGGTTGGAAAGGACCTTAAGATCATCTAGTTCCAACCCCTCTGCCTCACACTAAACCATGCCACCCAAGGCTGTGTCCCACCTGGCCTTGAACACTGCCAGGGATGGAGTATTCACAACTTCCTTGGGCAACCTCTTCCAGTAAAGAACCCTTACAGTAAAGAACTTCCTCCCTATATCCAATCTAAACTTCCCCTGTTTAAGTTTAAACCTTGTCCTATCACTCCAGTCCCTAATGAAGAGTCTCTTCCCAGCATCCCTACAGGCCCCCTTCAGATACTGGAAGGCTGCTCTGAGGTCTCCCTGCAGCCTTCTCTTCTCCAGGCTGAACAGCCCCAACTTTCTCAGCCTGTCTTCATACAGGAGATGCTCCAGTCCCTTGATCATCCTCGTGGCCTCCTCTGGACTTGTTCCCACAGTTCCATGTCCTTTTTATGTTGGGGACACCAGAACTGCACCCAGTGCTGCAAGTGAGGTCTCACAAGAGCAGAGTAGAGGGGCAGGATCACCTCCTTCGCCCTGCTGGTCACGCTCCTTTAGATGCAGCCCAGGATACGGTTGCTTTCTGGGCTGTGAGCGCACACTGAAGCCGGCTCATGTTCAGTTTCTCATCGATCAACACCCCCAAGTCCTTCTCCGCAGGGCTGCTCTGAATCTCTTCTCTGCCCAACCTGTAGCTGTGCCCAGCTTAATGTCTATCTCTTCCTGTCTCAGTACCAGAAATTGCCTTTGCAAAATGAGCCAGCTTCCTCCGGAGAGTCTTCTGGCATCCCCAGTGTCAGAGGGCATGAATCCCAGGGTAGAGTCTTCGGACAACTTGTCAATGGACAGTTTTTGGCTGGAAGTGGAGAACATTAAACAGAGTGCTGAAGTGGAGCAAGAGGAATGCAGCCTTGCAGATGTCAAAGCACAAGAAGGTAAGTTGCCGAAAAGGAAGGGAGTGGCGGGAGGAATGTCATAAAATCATAGAATGGTTTGGGTTGGAAGGTGAGCATCCTGAACACAAAATTTGCTTATGCACCTGAATGATTTAGAAGCATGTTGCAATATGGCTTGAATATTACCAGTCAAATCAGATATGTCTATCTCTTTATTTGGGTGGTGCCTAATGCCCTGCTCAAGGGAAGTGCTGGCCTGGCCTGGTTTCAGCTTCTGAAACAAAGCTGACTCTAAAGGGCAGTCAGGAGTACGTTCAAGGCTCCAGACTTTTTCTAGCAGGAGACTCTTGCTCCCTGTGCAGGTGGCTGTGTGGTGGTAAACACCCTGTGATAGCTGGTGGTGGTTTGGAAGGCTTGCTTCTGTATGTGGTTCTAAGACTGCATCACAGTGGCTTTTCTGAGAGTTGGTTATGTAAAAGGCAGACATTTCCCACTCTAATTTACTCTTCAAGAGGCCATAATAAACATCCAAAATGACTTGAGTCCATCTACACAAGGTTTTTCTTATATGCCACCTTCCCCTCTCTCCCCTTTCATTTGAGGACTGCTTTATCTACATGAGTTGTTTCTAACAGGCTGTCTCTAGTGGTGGTGTTATTCAGTAGTTTGGAATAACTGGGTAAATTGCCTTTTGACATAGAAGGTACAGCGTGCTGGGGCTGGAGGGACGATAAGCAGTGATAAACAGATTGGGATCACACGTTTCCCGGATCCGTTTTGAATAATATGGTTTAGTTGGCTCTACATGCTCTGGAATGATCGGGTTTGCAGCCTGTACAGCCTACATCTGTTGTGCTGGCCTGATCATAGAATCAGACTGCTTGAAAAGGACCTTAAAGCTCATCCAGTTCCAACCTCTGCCATGGGCAGGGTCATCTTCCACTAGAGCAGCTTGCTCCAAGCCCCTGTGTCCAACCTGACCTTGAACACTGCCAATCTTGAGAAGAAACCATGGGTGTAATGGAAACATGTTTCAGTGAACGTTCCATGTGTTGCTGTGCTTGAGACGGGTAAATAGCTCTCCTAGGTGCATAGAGGGGACTCTGGGGAGATCACCATTTGTGTCAGCCATAGCAGGCAAGACACAGTAAGCATCAAGGTCTGCTGTTAGCGTCCCTGTGTAAAGGACATAAATTTGATTTTTAGAACTAGAAGAGATGCAAAAATGCCAGGAATGTGCCTGGAAGAAGACTCTGGAAAAGAGGCGATGCCATGAGATGAAAAACTGTCTAGGATATCCAAAAGACTGATATTCTAGAGGCAATATGATTCCTCTGTGTAAGCAAGGGCTCAAGGAAAAGTGTCTTTTAATGCTAATGCTGTATATTAAAGTAGCAGGCAAGAGCTGACTGCTTAATTGGCCACTGAAACCAGACAGACTTGAAATAGTGCCCAAAGGTGCAAAGCCCTCCCGGCAGGCTGGGACAAGAGATGTGCAGCTCGGCTCCCGGTGCCTTCTGCGAGGGAGCGCAGTCAAAGGAGCATTGTGCTGGCAGTGTTAGTGGTGAGGGGAACCTCCCGGTGGTGCGGGTCCCAGGCTTGGCTGGTGCCTGTCTTGTCTCTGCAGTTTAGGGTTGGAGCCCTGTGAGGGGGCAGTGTCAGGCAGGGGCTGCGGGGCTCCTGGGAGCTAAAGGCACCGTTGCTCTTTGCATACAGCCCTAGAAGTTGTGCTTGAGCAGGTGCAGACAGCTCCAAGGCTGACACAGAGCTGATCCTAACCAAAGTGCAGGGGCAGCATGGAGCCTGCTTGTGGATAAGGCATTGCAGAGATGCTGACCTGCTTGGAGAGCCTCGTGTAAGCGGTGGTGTAATGGAAGCTTCCTGTAACCTGGAGTGAGCTGGAGCCCAGTGTGTGACTGCAGAACTGGGTCCGCTGGAAGGAGCTACTGACACCTGTGGGCTCACCAGCAGCTGAAGGCAGCAGAAGGGAGCTTTTCCCTGGAGCGGAGCGGAGCAGAGCAGCGGTATCCTTTCCTTGCCGTTCATCCAGCTCTCTCTGGCGCCCGGCAGTACAGCAGCTGGTGAAGTATGCGCTCTGTGTGGTACTGCCACTGGAGTATCTGCTAACATCCTTACAGCACGTAATCACGCCTGGGAAGTGTCAGCAAAGAGTGATCCTTCTCTACCTTCCAACACTGTATAGGAAGTTGTGTTTAATGTTTAGTCTGAAATTGTAGGGTACTGAAGCTGTCCTTTTAACCTTTTGGAAATAAACCCCTTTATTACCAATGCTGGTTTTGGCCAGCTTACATTTCAAGTAAGTTTCTGGAACTGCAGTTCTTTAGTTTTGTAAATTTATCCTTGATTGTGGCCACCTGAAACGCTCCTTGTCTGGAAAGCCCAAGGCAAACCTCAGCAGCTCTCCAGGCCCAAACCTGCAGCTCAGCTTCTGTGGACCTCTCGGTTCTGACCTGTTTCTCTCCAATTTCCCTCTTCTCCCCATAAATAACCTATTTTACACGTTTCCTTTTGTGTAACTGGCAAACACATTTGGGCCAAAAATATTAAACAGATGAATTAAAATCTGATGCTTTGGCATCAGGTGGGGCAGTAGGCTCACCCAGTATCCGATTTGGGGCCCGCTGTTTAGCATTGTGTATTAGATTAGTTTCCTGTTATGACTGGAATTGGGTATTTTCAAAATTTGCAAGCAATACACTTCACTTCCTTTGGTTCCAAAGGCAAAATAAACCAGAAGTTTTTTTGCATGCTGTGCTGATGAAACCAGGGGTGCAGCACAGATTGCTGTGAGGAGTCAGGCACAGGACCACGGTGTGTGAGCAACTGTAATCAAGCAAGCACTTCCAGGGGAATTATAGAAACCCAGCCTGGTTTGGATTGAAGGGACCTCAAAGCTCCTCCAGCTCCAACCCCTGCCACGGGCAGGGACCCCTTCCACCAGAGCAGCTTGCTCCAAGCCCCTGTGTCCAACCTGCCCTTGAACACTGCCAGGGATGGGGCAGCCACAGCTTCTCTGGGCACCCTGTGCCAGCGCCTCAGCACCCTCCCAGGGAAGAGCTTCTGCCTAAGAGCTCATCTCAGTCTCCCGTCTGAGGCAGCTTGGAACTGGATGAGCTTTAAGGTCCATTCCAACTCAAGCCATTGTAAGATTCTAAGAAGATACTAAATGGCTTTTTTATTTAGATGCAGCAATAATAAGACTTTGCCTAAGCAGCTGTGATACTGTAATACCAGTTTGCACAGGAAAGGCACAGTGGGAATGAGCAGCTGTGTTTCAGTCCAGTTGTGATTTTACTTTTTCCCAGTATAAACTTTGGTAGAGGTGTGTTGGAGCTGCCTACAGTGAATGAATGAGGGAAATAGAATTGGAAAGCTAAAGGCTTTGTGGTGTTCACCGTATCAAAGTTGAAGCCACCTGCTAAATTGCTTCTTTTATTCTTGGATTTCAAGTAGCTGCCTTTCTCAGGGCATTTTCTCAGCTGCACAGAGGGTGCAGCCCATACGGAAAAAATTGTTTTCTGGGTTTGAAGCATATCATAATATGTATTGAAGCTTGTTTGAGTAATGCTGCTGTACTGTTTCCAGGCGTCTCACACCTCATTCTGGAGCTGAAAAGCTCTTTAATTTTAGGGGTGTTTTGAATAGGCACAGACATAAAGCAAATGCACAGAGTAAGAACATCAGTTTTGCTTTTGTTGGATGACTGTACTGGTACCAGTCCACCTAAAATGATAGAGAATGTTGCAAGCAAATGGTTACGCAAATGTATTGTGAATCTACCAGAGCAGTATCTGGATATTTAAAAAAAAAAGATAAAAGAATTAAACCAGTTGATGCACAGGCCTGTATATAGATAAATACACAGTATAATAAATAGCCAAGTAACTGGGAAGAGTCCTACAGCCAAATGTGCAGATGTTGTGACTTCTCATAGATCTTTTTTTGTCCATTCCCAAAGCTGTCAATGAAGCAGGGATGCTCCAGAGAGGCACTGCTGTTCTTTCGGAGTGTGCTGAGTGCTGTTGCCTGCATCCAGAGTTACCCTTTGTAAAGGCAGATTTAAGCAAGTGTATCTTGCTCTCCTGATGTATCCTGTGAAAGCCCCCACCAAGCTCAGTGCTAAATACCACAATTCACACTTGTGTCCCCTCTTCTGCCCAGCTTCAGAGGGAGCCTGCGTTCCCAGCAATATCTGTGCTTTTTCTTCCCTTTCCTCACCCTAGGTGAGGAGAAGGGAGTATGTGGGCAGTTATAGCTGCCTAGAGTGCTGTGTCTCCTTCAGTTTCACCTGATACCCAGCAGGGAATCTGGGAACAAGGCTCTGAGAGTAACAGTGGCTTTGTAACAAAGATATGGCTTCCTTCCAGTGATGTCCCATTGCCACCCCAGAAAGGGGATGTCTCAGGGTTCTTGTTTTCTGCCCTGAAGTGTTGCAAGCATTCAAATTGCTGTTATCCTTCCTCATCTCACTCGTCCTTCTCACCCCTTGTGTCGCAGAGGGAGAGGCTGAAGCTGAGTGGCTCCAGGATGCAGGTCTGTCCAACCTCCTCGGGGACTGTGGCTCTGAGCACGACAACATCATGCTGCTCTCCACCCTCACCAAGACTCAGGCTGCTGCTGTGCAGCGGCGGCTTGACACCTATTCCCGATCTCGGAGGAGGAACAAGCATCCTGTGCGTGATGTCAGAGACATTTTTGGAGTGGTCAGCTCAGAGGTATGCTGGTTTAGTGGGATCTCCTGAAAGACTTGGTTGCATCGCAGTAGCTGAGTTGGCTTTCTGGGTCTAGTCATTTCCAAATAGACAAAATTCATCTCTTGAGCTGAAATAAAGCTGAGATGGCAGAAATTCTGCATCCAGGTTGCAGTGTTGAGAAGTTGCTGCAAAACCTCCATAAGCTTCCTAGAGACTGCCTGAAGACTTTATGTAGGCTCTGCAGCCTCGTGGAGCACTGGTATTGTTTGGAGCCCTCTTGTGTTTTCTTTATTCCAGTGACACGTCAAATTATTATTATCCAAAACAAAAAGAGAGAACTTCCTATGTTCTATTCTGACAAGATGACCCTGGGCAGCTGGTAATTCTGAGGAAAGTCGAGCCACTGCCTTTTTCTCGGTTTTGCTAGCCAATACATAACCATTAGCTTTTCAGCTGCTTTTCTGCTCTGTTGCTCCTCTTTTGGTTGCGCCTACAGGTACAGTACCTTTATTTCTTCTAGGGGCCGCTGGAGAGTATCCTATTCAGGGCTCCTTGTAACTTGCTCTGCTCAGTTAGGTGTCTAGAAGGTATTGAGCTTAACGAAGATCTACCTTTTTGAGTAGCATGGGTCCCTTGCTGTCTGCCAGAAGTGATTACTCCTTTTTCTCAGCCTGAGCCTACCTGAAACTTCTTTTACTATAGTGAGATTAATTATACCCCAATAATCCCTTGAATGCCTTAAAGGAATGACACTAAGAGTCTACACCATCATGGGAAACTGCTGTGGTTGTGTTCTTTGTAACTGCCCCGTGCTGAGATGCAGATGACTTCCTTACTTTGAATTGCACTGAGGCAGAGTCATTGCTGGCTCTCTTTTGCAGAGAATCTACCAGATTCTCTGCAAATCTACTTGCATTCCTCCTTGAATGGGTAACATTTCTAGAAGCAGTAATGCTTCAAGGTTGTCTGAAGTGCCTCAACTGAATTTCAACAAGTTTTAGCACTTGCACATTAAATAGAAGCCTGTTATATCTCTTAAAATAATTTTACTTTTTATTGCATAGGAATGGAGATTTTTGAGTTCTTAATCTTATGTGTCCACACACTAGGTCATGAATATTTGCATTTGATAAGCAACTGAAATCCAATTTGATCTTTTAAAATGACGTTTTGGTGTAATGAAAGCATGCACCAAGATGCTAAAATTGTCTTTTAAAATAGTTTTGGTTTGATTAATAGTGAACCATTTTATCTCACTTATTACGTGGGCAAGATCGCTGGACCCTTTTTTCCCAATAACTGCTGGAATTATTAGCATTTTCTTTGGCTCAACTCTCTTAAAGGTTTGGTGATTTTTTTAAGCTCTGTAGTTGCCTCTGAGATCGACAGTTTTTAGTGGATGTTGCTGACACAAAAAAAAAAACAGTGGGGTTCACCCCCTTTTTAATTAGAGTTAGTAAGAAAATGTATTTTAAATGGGTCTATATGACTGGTTGTTTCTTCTTCACTGAGTGGCCAGCAGCTTAACCTCAGTATTTCTTGTCTTTTACAACACCAAGGGGTGGTGTTTGCCCTCTTTGTTTCATGGGAAGTGACAGAGGCTCAGCTTAGGCAAATGAGTGATTTTTATTTCAATCAGTAAATGTTTGAGATGTTACGGTATGACACTCATGTAAGCTCTGAGCAGAAGTCCTTTACCATTAAATAATTCCTGGAGCAATCCCAGAGGGATGCAGGCTTTTTGGATAATTTTCCATACTGGTTTGCTGTGTCATGCCAGTTCCAAGCACAGTTTCTGGGGCTCTGAAGAACGTGTTTAGGAACCATATGAGGAAACATGCCTAGTGTTGCTATACACTTGTTTGAAGCATGCAACAAGACATGATAAATCCCCATAGCTGTAAGAATGCAGGCAGCAATGTGTCAGTCATTTGGGTTTTTATTTCCATCAGTGTTTTAAGATGGATTTGCAGCTTGCCTTCTGTCCGCCACTGTCCTGAGCTACTTGAGCATCAAAGCTTCTGGTATTTCCTTCAGAAATTTTCCACGTATTTCTTCTGCATTACTCTTCCCTGTGAACTGTTTACACAGCAGCTGGATATGAAGGTGCTCTGGCATTACTGCATGAGCTGTATTTTAGCTGTAGACATAAACGAATTGGTTCTGCTTTTGTGGCAAGACCATCAGTTATGCAACCACCCTAAAGATACACATCTGTGTAGATTAAGTGTTTTGCCTATTTGCAAAACCAACTTTGCACAGGTTCTTTTTAACTTTACTATCACAGAATCGTAGAATGGTTTGGGTTGAAGGGAGCTTAAAGTTCCTCCAGTTCCAACCCCTGCCACGGGCAGGGACCCCTTCCACCAGAGCAGCTTGCTCCAAGCCCCTGTGTCCAACCTGCCCTTGAACACTGCCAGGGATGGGGCAGCCACAGCTTCTCTGGGCACCCTGTGCCAGCGCCTCAGCACCCTCACAGGGAAGAGCTTCTGCCTAAGAGCTCATCTCAGTCTCCCCTCTGGCAGGTTCAAGCCATTCCCCTTGGCCTGTCCCTGCAGGCCCTTGTCCCAAGCCCCTCTCCAGCTTTCCTGCAGCCCCTTTAGGCAGTGGAGCTGCTCTCAGGTCTCCCCTTGAGGAGTCTTCTCTCCTCAGTCCTTAGCCCACAACTCCGTGTCATATGCAGGTTCTGGGAAAGTTGCTAACTTTCAGTAATAAAATAAGCTTTCCTATATTCTAACTAGTTCTAGTAAGTTCTAGTAAGGTTTTTATTAACAGAATTGCCCACCAAGTGCTTCCTTACACTTTTAAAGATTCAATTCTCTCTCTAGATGTGAAGAGGGAGGTTAGTATGAAACCAATGTAGGGAACCTTTTAGGTGCTGATGTCTACTTTGTGTGCTCTTCCTGGTGAAAGATCTTGGGACCGCAGGCAGTGGGTCGATCCTGTGTGGCTTGGTTGATTCATTGTTAACCCCTCAGTGAGTGAACTAGTAGGAGGAAATCAGCTAATGATTGTGTGAAAGGAAGAACTGGCCTGATAATGTGCAAATTTATCACAAATGCTGTCTATGTAATAGTCATTTTTTGCCACTTGCCTGCCAAATCCTCTAATTATGATTCTTAATTTCAGAACAGTCTTGTACCCCTGCGCTTGAGCAGCATCTTCTTAGACCAACAGACAATGTCAGGTGTTTGCTTTCTGCCAAAACCAGGTGGTCTTATAATAACTTCTTTTTTGTGTAGATGAACATGTTCTGGTTTATTTTTCAGGTGACAGCGACAGAGAAAAAGGAATCCAGGCCAGATCAGCTGTGGCACAATCAACAGACTTCAAATGTACACAGAAGTAAGAAGGAAGCTTTTAAATGTAGAATAGGAGTGAACAGGAGGAGCTGAAGTGGGACTGGAACTGGAAAGGAAGTTACACTAATTTGGGCTCTGAAACCTTGGCCTTGTTTGTGGTTTTGGGGCCTTGTCTGTGGTTTTTCGGTGGCTTTTTGTTGGTAATTTTTTTGAATAATTTTATTTTTAAATACATGGTTATCCACAGTTGTGGATTTCACAAAACTTTTCAGGCTCTAGTGTTGTTAGGAATTGCTGCTCAAAGTGATTACTATAACTCTTCAAGAAAGCAATTTAAGACGCAAATAATGTCAGTCTAGCAAAGATGGTGTGGTGACAACCTCTAGACACCATACATGATTGTGTGAACAGAAGTTAGCCATAAGATGTCCTTTAATTTAAGGCTATGCTCATGTCTTACCAGTGTTCTGGTGATTGTAGGGTGATTGTAGCCATAATGGTATGGCTTTAAGCTAACCTTCCTGAGCAATCTCAGGACTCTGAGGTGAACACTGTTCTCAAATGTGAGTGTATAGGATTTTTTAAAAGCACTGGCACCCAGAACTCTTTCAAGCGTTTTTTAGCACACTTGTTTGCTAAGCTTCACCCTTCTGGCTTTCTGAAATTCAAGACAATTTCCCCCCTGTAGCAGAAACGCAGGAGTACTCCTGCACAGTTCGAAACCCTGGAAAAGAGGAGATGTTCAACATGGATGTTGCCTACTCAGAGCAAGCAGCTGTCCTGCTGAAGGGATCGTTCCTGTCTGAATCTACAAAGTTAAAGGACGGCAATGCCCTAACTGTAAGAATTGAAGGAGTTTCTCATGTTAGAACTCATGTAGAGACTCTTGTCTTTCTCATGTAGAGGGGTACAAGACATTTGATTCAGGTGAATATCAGCTCTTGGAAACATCCTCTATTAATAATGTTGCAGTGGGTCTATATTAGGTATTTTTGGACAGGTAGTGCAGTTACCTGTGAACTGTTGGGAAAGGACGACCACTTGGAGGTCAAAAGAAGTAAGGCTTATGTATGAAACTAGGTATTTTGATATGGTTCTAGGTTGTTTCCACTGAAAAGAGAATAATTGGGCTTTCTTACTTGTAATTCTAACAGATTTTTTTCCTCCACAAATGTACTGGGCTGCTTCCGAAGTTCAGGTGAATCAGGGTGGGTATCATGCTGTCTTTAATTTACATAAATTGGGATCTCCAATATGATTAAAGAGCAATACTGAAAAGAGAAAGTATTTGTTCAGCTGTGGGTTGAGTAGAAGTAAGAGTAGTTTTGGCCATTTGTCTGGTATTGAAAACAGGAGAATGAATAGGTATACGTTTCTGGTGTCCCCAACATAAGAAGGACATGGAACTGTTGGAACAAGTCCAGAGGAGGCCACCAGGATGATGAGGGACTGAAGCACCTCCCGTATGGAGACACGCTGAGAACACTGGGGCTGCTCAGCCTGGAGAAGAGAAGGCTGCGGGGAGACCTCAGAGCAGCTTCCAGTGTCTGAAGGGGCCTACAAGGATGTCAGAGAGGGACTTTTCATCAGGGACTGGAGTGACAGGACAAGGGATGATGGGTTCAAACTGAAACAGGGGAAGTTCAGGTTTGATATAAGGGAGAAGCTCTTCCCTGTGAGGGTGCTGAGGCGCTGGCACAAGGTGCCAAAGGAACCTGTGGCTGCTCCATCCCTGGCAGTGTTCAAGGCCAGCCTGGACAGAGCCTTGGGTGACATGGTTTAGTGTGAGGTGTCCCTGCCCACGGCAGGGGCTTTGGAACTGGATGATCTTAAGGTCCTTTCCAACCCTAACTATTCTATGGCTGGTTATGGTAGGGAATGATAAAAATGCAGCCAAACTTGGTGAATAGCAGGATTAGTAGTAATAACTTGCACTGAACCTTTTGGGTGTATATGTGTTTCCTTAGAAATTTAAGATCCCCAAGGGCAGACTTGGAGTGACCAGGATAGGAGATCTGTCTGCTCAGGACATGAAGAAGATCCCCACGCTGGCCCTTATAGAACTAACAGCTCTTTGTGATATCCTGGGCTTTGAGCTGAAGAGAAACAAAGCAGCAAAGCTGAAAACAACAGGTTAGTTGTATGTCATCTTAATTTATTTGTGTGTGTATCTTTGGTTTTTGTTTTGTGTTGTATTTTTATCTTATCATAGGTTTGTGTTTCAAATGTTACAACAGCGAGAGTCTTTAATAAGAAACCTTGTGACGGGGGTGTTTTCCTGTATCAGAATTTCTCCTGGAAGTCACTGAATCATGACATCAAGATCTGGCACCACATTTACATTTGCCTACCAAATGCACTTGTCCTGTTTAACTCTTCCTCTCTTTTTCTCCAGTATCTGTGCTTACAAAATGTGTCATCTGAGTCTGCAGTGGTGGATATATTCCTTACACCTGTATTAGAGGTGACACAGACCTAAAGCCTGTTGTTTCTATTGTAGAGAAAAGACTCTTTGGAGTTCCACTCAACACCCTATTGGAAAATGACCAAAAACTGCTCCCCAACACCAAGGTTCCTCTGTTACTCCAGGCAGTGAGTTTTCTTCTGGTTTTATTCTGATCCTCAGAGTCAGGAGGCGGTGATAAGAAAGGGCAGACTTCTCATCCTTTGTGCCTAAGAGCTTTATTTTCCCTCCCCACTTTAATAGCTGCTGTCCTGCTTGGAAAAGAGAGGACTTGAAACAGAGGGCATTTTGAGAGTTTCTGGGTCCCAGACGAGGATCAAGGTACGAGGATCAAGTGTTTGAAAGTGTCAGAGGTGATCAGGGAGCATGTTACTGAAGCACTTGTCTAAATAACTTGAATTGTCTCATGTCCTTTCCCAATACAACTGGAACTTTCATTGCTGGAAAATCTGGGAGTGTCTGCTAGCAGTGAGGGATATCTGGGAGTATCTGCTGTGAGGGTCTCTGCACTCTTCGGACTTGATGGGTTGCCCATCTAGTGCTCACCTACAGAACTTCCCTTGTATTTGCTTATTAAAGCGTGTAATAAATTCCATCTTTTTACTAGAGTCTGGAACAGAAGCTAGAAAGGGACTTCTATACTGGCCTTTTCCGCTGGGATGAAGTGCACCAGAATGATGTGTCTGGGCTACTGAAAAGATTCATAAGGGAGCTGCCAGCCCCACTGCTGACAGCAGAGTACCTCCCTGCTTTTGCTGCTGTACAAAGTGAGTCCCTGCTTTGGCTGTTTAGCATCAGTTTGCTGGTTTGTGCTTTTCTTGCAGAGCTCTACAGGTGCTCTACTTGCATTCTGCTACCAGGTGTGTTGGGAGCCTGTGGATTCAGCAGGAATACAGAGCATGATATGTCTTATGGAGACAGGCTTGTTCAGCCTGGAGAAGAGAAGGCTCCTCAAGGGGAGACCTGAGAGCAGCTCCAGTGCCTAAAGGGGCTGCAGGAAACCTGGAGAGGGGCTTGGGACAAGGGCCTGCAGGGACAGGTCAAGGGGAATGGCTTGAACCTGCCTGAGGGGAGACTGAGATGAGCTCTTAGGCAGAAGCTCTTCCCTGTGAGGGTGCTGAGGCGCTGGCACAGGGTGCCCAGAGAAGCTGTGGCTGCCCCATCCCTGGCAGTGTTCAAGGCCAGGTTGGACACAGGGGCTTGGAGCAAGCTGCTCTGGTGGAAGGGGTCCCTGCCCGTGGCAGGGGCTGGAGCTGGAGGAGCTTTAAGGAACTTACCAAAGCAGACTATTTTGTGATGCTTTATTATGAACCATAGCCAAAAGTTGTGTGCTTGGTGCTGTATGTACTACTACGTATCAGCCTGAGATTCATAGTCACTGGTGGTTGGTTTCATACACATTTGTGTAGGAATCATGTCCTGGAGTCTTCAATTACATTGTTTCATTTGAGGCTGAAAGGTTGCTAATACAAATTAGGACAAATTGATAAATAATGACATGCAGGCTGAGTTGGGACAACTGGCCAGGCTGCAGGGTCTTGGCTTGTCTACGAGTAATGCAATGTTCTGCAAGCACCTTATTTTGAGGTTTGTGCCTCAATAGGTGGTTTGAATGTTGAGCTAACTGTTTAAGGGCACAACTTCTTTTGTCCAAGACATGGGGGATTATGGGGTCTTTTGATGCCCTTCAAGGGCATCAGACTGCTGGTAGACTGTGTACTCCAAAGCAAATCAGCCTGTCTTCTAAAACACATGGGGTTCACTTCATAAAGGGCAGGCTGAGTTTGATTTACTTGTGTAAAACAAGGCCTCAAAGCCCAGTGGCAAACACTACAAGAAGTAATTGCCTTATTCCTTGGGGGATTCCCCTGCTCAAAACCAAAATAAATGTCAGAAGCCTGAATCCTCTGTCCTGTTGTTGCCCTCCCTCATTAGATATTCCAGATCTGAAGCAAAGATTGCAAGCTCTAAACCTTCTGATCCTGATTCTTCCAGAGCCCAACAGAAACACTCTAAAGGTAACCACGTGTTATGAATTAAACTGGGAAAACATGATCTTGTTCCAGGTTTTTATTCAAGGAAACTCTTATCAGTTTTTGTAAATAACAGACATCATGCTCCTTGGTTCTATTTCACTGTCTTGAGAATGGAAAGCTATGATGGGGGGAGCAGGCAAGCGGGCTGTGCAGAGAACGCAAGCTGTAAGCACACTCTGCCTTGTAGGTACAAACTGAAAAGCAGTAGGATTCCATGTGGTTTTGCAGCATCCAGCATTCTGTTCAGAAACATGCTCTTCCCCTTCAGTGTGTTAAAGCATTTCAGTATGAAGTGAAAGACGTACAGGTCTTACATTGTCTGTGGGCATGCTAAGGTACAGAGAAAGAAACTCAGTCTTTTGGTCAATGGTTTATGGTATTATCATCTATGAAAGATGGTTTCAATTAAAAAAAAAAATAAAATCAAAAAAGCTATTAAGCTTCTAACTTCCCTGTTCTGATGAGGAGGCATCTGAAGCCCTTTCACCTGCTACATTTTGAAAGAGCAGATGCTGGTGGGATCAGCTGTGCTGGCAGGGCACAGCCTCTGCCCTTCTGTGCTTTAGAAATGTGGTGATGCTACTGCTTCCTTTGAGTTTTCTTCTCCTGAGTAGTTCAGCTTCCAGGTGATAAAGGCAAGGCTGAGTTACCACCCTGCAGGCTCTGGAATTCAGAATCCAGTCAAAGATGATCTGTCATGCATCCTGGCTTTGGTGGAGGCATGAGGCAGGAGAGAGAATCCAAAAGGGGTTTTTTTTCCATACCTGGGAATAGCTTTGAGAGGATACCTGGGGGAGGGAAGAGGGGCAGCTTTGGATTCCGTATCTTTTATGACTGGACTTGTTGTAAACTGCCACCTGCCAAGGAATAAGAGCTCATCTGCTTCCCCCACAGGCTGTCTGTCCTGATTTGTGAGCGCTGGACAAACTGGATCTCAGCTTGGTGTGGTTTTTTGTTGCTGCTCTAATGTTAGAAACTGGCCACTGAACTTCCTGGCTGGAAAAATAGGATTTGCTCATAGGTATCAAGAGAAAGTGTTAGCTAAGTGATCTCTCCAGTAATTGCCACAGTAGTTCTTGAGCATTATTAGTAATGGATGTCTTAAGTCTCTTCCCCTCTCTTCAGGCTCTACTTGAGTTCCTCAGCAAAGTGGTTGCCAGGGAGAACAGCAACAAAATGAATCTGTGGAATGTTTCCACAGTCATGGCCCCAAACCTCTTCATGCACAAGGGACTGCCAAACAAGATCCCTGAAGGGAAAGAGAAGCAGCTGGCTGAGGGAGCTGCTGATGTCGTGCGGATGATGATCCATTACCAGGATTTGCTTTGGACAGTAAGTTGCCCTGGTGTATTGTGCTATGGTGTAGCAGTGTCTCAGTCTGGTTAGAATTGGAATAGGGGAAAGGATAGTCTTAGAAATTTGAGAGTTAAATATCCATAGGCAAAGTCTCTGGCTGAATTCCCAGACTGTTTTCAAAGTATATGGATATGTCTACTTAAGGATCTTCAGAAAGTTTAGGTTCTTAAATGGCATCCTCATCTCTGCCTGATTTAAAACCTATTTATTCCCATCTCCACTGCCCAGGTCTCCTCTTTCCTGGTAGCTCAAGTGAGAAAGCTGAACGAGAGCAATAGCAAAAGGTACCAGTTCCTTGACAAGCGAATTAAACATTTGTTGAGGAAGGTTCATGCTGATAAGGACAAGGTGGAAAAGAACCAGGCAGAGGTGAGTTAGGGCTTGGAAAAACTGAGCCCTTTCACAACAGTATCAAATCCTTTCATGAGAATTAAAAACAGTATGGATTTTGCTCTTTAAAGAGTAAGAGAGAGAAAAATCTGCAGAACAGTGAGAAAGAGCTTCCCTCTTTGATAGGTTGTGGCAAAACCTGATCCCAACAGCAAGAGCACTAAGTAAATTTCATGCCACAAAAAACGTTATCAAGATGATGCATGATTGCAAGTGAGGGGGGAAGAGACCAGAAGCAGAAATGCTGGTCTTTACTTCATGTGCAGAGCAGAATTCATCTGGCTTTAGGTCTCCCATATGTTTAGACAGATGTGTCTGCCATAATAAAGGCAGACTTAATTTCATAAACCTAAAATAAAAAATTAGGCTATTACAACAGTATAAAAGCATGTTTTGTTTTGTTTTCTAATTTTCTTTTTACTCCATAATTCTGCTGATCTGTGTGGGAGGGTTTGAGGACAAGGTTCTTTCCACTTAAAAGGAGAGATAAATGGAACGGTTCTACTCCTCCTTGTCTTGGTGGAGACAGATTTTTAAACAGATGCTACAACCAGATATATCTGAATATCAAATCTGAGACAAGAACCTTGGTGTCATTCTACCTTTTCCTTTGGTTGCCACTGTTGGTTAAGTAAGGTAGGTCTGTAGATTGCTTCACGCAGTGCTGGATTTTAACTATTGCATAGCAGTGGTGCTGCAATTGGGATACTCTAGGGACACAAGCCAGATGGAGTCTACAGGTGGAATTAATACATTGAAAGCTTAAATCTGAATGGAACTGGATGATCTCTAAGGACTGTTCCAACCCAAACCATTCTATAATACCTGAAGAGCCAGTGCACAAGCCAGTATAACACCCACCTTTCTGTACGAGTTGGGATACTGAGATGACATCTGCCTAAAATTTGGCTTGTCAAGGCAGCATGTCACTGTGGAAGGAGCTGTCATTTCAGAGAGTGTAACTGCTGTTCAGGCAGTCAAACAGATGATCGATGCTTAGGACTGGTTAGCACTGGTCCCACAGTTTCAATCTTGTACAGTGGTTTTGCAGAGGATTTGGGGCTGCAAAATTAATTTGCTGCAGATTAGACCCCATTAAAACAGTTTAATGTTTCATAGAATCTTAGAATGGTTTGGGTTGGAAGGGAGCTTAAAGTTCATCAAGTTGCAGCCCCAACCCCTGCCACGGGCAGGGACCCCTTCCACTCGAGCAGCTTGCTCCAAGCCCCTGTGTCCAACCTGGCCTTGAACACTGCCAGGGATGGGGCAGCCACAGCTTCTCTGGGCACCCTGTGCCAGCGCCTCAGCACCCTCCCAGGGAAGAGCTTCTGCCTAAGAGCTCATCTCAGTCTCCCCTCTGGCAGGTTCAAGCCATTCCCCTTGGCCTGTCCCTGCAGGCCCTTGTCCCAAGCCCCTCTCCAGCTTTCCTGCAGCCCCTTCAGGCACTGGAGCTGCTCTCAGGTCTCCCCTTCAGGAGCCTTCTCTTGTCCAGGCTGACCCAGCCCAGCTCTCTCAGCCTGGCTCCAGAGCAGAGCTGCTCCAGCCCTCGCAGCATCTCCATGGCCTCCTCTGGACTCACTCCAGCAGCTCCACATCCCTCTTGTGTTGCTGCCTCAGAGCTGGATCAGGGCTGCAGGGGGGGTCCTGGTGTTCCCTCCAAAAGGTCTGAGGAGTTTCTTCATGAAGGAATTGATGAAAACAGTCTTAAAAAAAATAGGACTTGACGGTTTGTCATGATTTATTCTGACAAATTCTATTTTCACGAGGTTTGTGGTGCTTCTGGTGCCAGTGCTGCATTTGAACAGCAGAGAGCACCAGCGCACGCTGATAGAGAATGCTGCTTTTCTCCCCAACCACACCAACGTACTGATGAATTCTTTATAATGCTCACCTTGATGCTTCTATAAGCTTCCATTGTATAGTATGTGTGGGATAATAAAGAAACCTGAATTCTTTGAACTGCTGGCTGCAATTCTGGTGTAATTCTTCACGTTCTTCAATCTAATTTGAAACTTAATGTTTTAGCTGATAACAACCAAAGTCTTTCATTAAGCACTTCCTTTTTTGCCTGCCTTGTTCAGCCTTCCAAGATTGTGAAAGTCCATGCTTCACTTCTCCTGAAGGATTCATTAGAAGTGCACTTGAACAATGCAACCAGAGCTGCTGATGTCTTGAGGCAGTTCCAAAAGAACATGTGCCAGCATGGCTGGAATATTGTGAACAGTGTCAACCTCCTCAAGTGGTAAATAGCTTTTTCTCTGCTTTTAAAATTAAAAATAAAAAAAAAGAAAAAAAAAAAGGAAAAAAAAGAAAAGCAAGCACTAGGTGGTCTACTTGCTGATTTTGGTTTTCTGGCAGAGCTAACCAAAGAATCCTAGAATGGCTAGTGTCAAAAGGGACCTTAAAGCTCATCCAGTTCCAATCCCTGCTGTGGGCAGAGACACCTTCCACTAGAGCAGGTTGCTCAGAGCCCCTTGTAACCTCACCTTAAAGGAACCTCATGCAGTGGCTCAAGGAGCCATTAGGAGACTGTTCTCTGCTCCTCTAAGCTTTGAGAATAGTGTGTTGGATGGAGCAAGCAGCTATTAGTTCAATTGAATGATTCCATCACTGTGCTCTGGCTGTCTTGAGCTCAGGAGTTCTCTCTGGGCTGCTGGACAGCATCCTTGCTGAGGAAGGGGAAGTGGAATAATACTGACCCTGCAAAAGAAACTCACTCTAGCTCTCTTGGAGGAAAACATCACCTGTGCAAGTTATTTGCCTGGAATAGTATTTCCAACACGTTATTATAGGGATTTCCTAAAATAAACTCTGCTTCAGTGGTGAATCACTGAAATAACCCCTAAAATGAGCAGAATTCCTGCCCTCCTTGTCACTGTGCCTGCAGACTGCATTTAGTAGGTAAAGTGTTAGTGCATCTCTTGACTGTGCCCCTGGCCAGGAGGTGTCTAGACAGGGAACGCGGATGGGAAGCTGGCTGAATATGGGTCAGCTGGTGTCTCACTAACAAGCTCCTACAGCTGCTGAAGTCTTCCTGCAGATAAGCTTCTCTTGAACAGGCCATCAGCTCTAGAGGAATGTTGCCAGTGAATTTTGGTATTAATGCCATTTGTCTACCTATTGAAAAGTCGGTGTTTGCATATAATGTGCTTCTTCTTACTAGTGAGGAATATCTGCTTTGTTTTCTTTTTTCCCAATTTTGGGTGTCTGTCAAGAGCTGCACTGTTAGGACAATCAGCAATGGTCTCTGAAGCCTGTAACTTCCTTGACCATTGCTGGCCTCTGAGCCACAAGCAATTCATTTGGAAGAAACATTGTTAAAATACCTAGCCTGATTTTTTGCATAGCTTTAACTTCAGTGTGTTTTTTCTCTCTGCAGTAACAACTCAATGGAGTGCACAAACTTGCTCCTGTATGAAGTGGGAGGCAATATTGGTAAGTCTGAGTGGTAACTGAAAATAAGGACTCTGATACTCAGTATTTATGCTTAACTTGTCTTAGGAAGGAGTTATAAAAAGGATGAGATTTGGAGTGGGGCTTCAGAAGTTAGAACACAATTGAACAAGCATGGGTCAACTCCAGTCACAGCAAGCAGCACCTGCCAGAGCAATTTGGTTGATAGTTCATATGTCTTCCAGCCCACTCTGCAAAGCCTTTACAGTGCAAGTATGTGGGAAGGTTGAATCCTGGACTTCCAAAGGAAAAGATAAATCTTCCCTGTGAGGGTGCTGAGGCGCTGGCACAGGGTGCCCAGAGAAGCTGTGGCTGCCCCATCCCTGGCAGTGTTCAAGGGCAGGTTGGACACAGGGGCTTGGAGCAAGCTGCTCTAGTGGAAGGGGTCCAGGAAGGTGTAAAGGGAAACTTCATCCTATGCGACTAGGCTTTTAATTCTGTGCCTCTTATCTGGGCTTTAATTAAGTGTGGTAGGCTGGCACATGGCATCTGTACCAAATGTGAATCCTGTCTGCCTCTATCCACTTCCTGATAAAAGAGCCTGTACTAACTTGGGTGGAGGTTTCTCAGACCATGTGGTTAAACAAGTTGATGTTCATTAGTCACCAGTTTCCCCTTGTCAGTAGGGTAATGTCATCAAGTGGGGAGGAGACTCAAATAATGTGATTGCAGCGGCAGATTAGGGGTGTCTGGAAATGGGAAGGAATTCTTATGCTCTGTTACAGATGCTTTTGGAGGCTGTTGGTTACTGTAGTGCTTTGGCTGCCTCTTTGTAGTTCTCTTAGTAGCATCCATAGAGGAAAAGCTCAATCATTGGAAACAATTCAGTCTCTGGATTTGATCACTAGCATATTTCATGATGGTTTTCAGGTGCTAAAGTTATGGAGTATTAATGTTAGAGAGGCTTTCCACAAAGGTCAAAGCTTAGGCTTAGCAGAGTTTTAAGACATGTACATTCATTTAAACATAAATAACTAGAAATTTTCCAGATCTGTAGAAGAACTTCTGAATGGTTGTGGTATTGAAATTAATGTGAACAAATACCCAAACAAAAAACCAAACAACAAAAACTAGCAACTATAGGACTAAGGATATAAGAAATGCTTTTTTTCTTGATTTTTCATAGGTGAACATTGCCTGGACCCAGACACTTACCTCTTAGACTTGTACTACATCAATCCCCATGCTGAGTGGATAATTAAGCAAAATCCATCTTATCCTCGGGTGTTTTAAGGAAAGCATGAGCAAAATGAAGCGTTCTGCTGAAGTTTTGGAAGGTGTGGAAAAGCCATATAGATGTTCCTGGTATTGTCACAGACTGGACAATGCTTGTGTCTTTGAAGGAAAACCAGCTTTATTTACTACTTCCATGACAGCTGGCTGTGAGTACCCTACCCTATGTGCTACAGGGGTGTCGGTAACGAGCAGCAATTATCTTCATGTAGCAGGGTTTGCAGGAGGTATGACTATTTTTAAACAAAATATCCCCGCCCCCCCCCCAAACTCTGCAAAGAAAGCTACAGTGATTGTGCAGCAAGGATGGAACAGAAGAAACGACCTCCTGAAGGTGGTAGAAGTAATCTGTTTCTTCTGGATTTGCCTTCTCTTTTGATCACACCCACAGGGAGGGTCAAATGCTGCAGCGGTACTAATGACATCCCAATAGGTGAGAGCCACTGTCGATTGTTGCATATCGCCAGAAAAAGTTGTGAGTCTGGGTTTCACTAATAAGATACTCTTGCGTTCTTTGAAGAATGAAAAAAGATGTTTCCAAAATAGCCAGAGGGGATGTGAAGCCAACGTCCTGTATTTAATGGCTACCGTTCAATACATCTAGGCAACTCAAGAAAACAACCTTGGAGAAAAAGTATGGGATGGACAGCAGCCTTTGAAATGTACAGTGTGCATGATAGAAGGTGCCTGTCCCATAGAGCTCTGCTGGTAATGCAAAACCAAACGCATAGGTTGCCACTGATGAGGGTAAGCCATCACATTTATTTTGATGCACAACCTATATATCAACAGACAACCAAGGAAATATTCTGAGGTAATTGGAGGTCAGTAGTCTGAACTGGCCACAGAAACTGGACTTCATTTTGGAAGACTGTCCGTGAACATGTCTGTTTAAAGACAAATCAAAGAACCCCTCAGATGTGCAGTGGCTGAACAAAGAGGTCTGTGCTTTGCTCAAAGTTGCGCAGTGTCTGGTTGCACTGTGTCTGGTTGCACAGTGGGTACTGAATTGAGCCTTCACCACTCTGAGTGCAGGTTTTCATCCCACACAGTGCAGTGATCTCTGGTCTGGAGAGATGAGAGCAGAGCAGAATGCTTGCATCTCACATCACTGCATAACCATCACACGACCTCAAATCAGACTGCACTTGTGGAAGAAGTGTGCAGAAGTATTGTTTTCCTTTGTGGTGATACTGAAATACCTCACGAGAGGAAACCTCCTGTGCAGTGCCAGGGGATGGAACATGCACCATCTCTGAAAATCACAACATCTTTTTTTATATACTGGTTTTAAACACTGTTGGATATTTATTCACATGGCAGAAGCAGGGCTGCCCTGCAAGTGTATGCTCAAAATATTTCCTTTGTCAGATTCTAGCTGCACTGGTGACAATCTCCAGTATTAGCTCTTTTGTTAAATGTTTTTTTTTCCATTGCAGTCTGGACTTCCCCTTCTCTGTTCCCGCCCC